AGCAGCGCAGGCGGCTCAGGTGCGGGACAGCAGCGGTTTGCTCAGCCCGGGGCCGGGCTCGTCCTTGTCCTCGGGGGGCTCTGGGCACTGCCAGGAGCTGTGGGGATCCTGCTGGGACCAGCCCAGCCCCGGGCAGCGGCCGCAGCACAGGAGGGACCCCAGGAGGGACCCCAGGAGGGTCCGCAGGCGCTCCCGCACCACCCCCGTGCACAGCACGAACATGATGCAGTTGGCTCCTCCTTGGAACGTGTTCCCGATGCCCTGTGAAGGCAGAACCCAATCACCCCGGGCACCCAGGAGGGGCTGACACCGTGTCAGAGCAGCTGCAGCGCCCACAGCCGCTGAGCGGTGTCCTCAGTGAGAACAATAAATTCACAAAAAATGAGCTTTTTTTTCACGAAAAGCACCAAAAGCAGAGCCGGGGGCTGTTGTGGGTGGTGTAGGGCAGGAGAACAGACCCCACATTCCCCTCGGAGCGGTTTTACCCACACGAGCAGCTGTCCCCGACCCTCCCCGCCGTGCAGCCTTCCCCCGCAGCCGCTAGATGCTGCTGGAGCCGCTCCGGCCGCAATTCCCGATCCCGGGATGGAGCGGGGGTTCGGACACTCCATCCTGCCCAAAAGGGAGCCCCGAACCCTCCCTTCCTCCCATGGACGCGTTTCACTCACRTGCAGAACAACCAGGACGGGGCTCTGCACGGCCGGGGAGTTGCACAGGGTCAGCACAAACCGCACCGTGCTCCAGATGCGCAGGAAAATGAAGATGAGCGGGATCAGGATCAGCTTCTTGTCGGCGATGGAGGCGCGGGGCTGCAGGGCGGGGGCTCCCGGGAGGAGGGGGCGATACTCGGAGAGCGCTGCGTGCTGCAGGGACGGGAGAGACCGGGATGGGAGAGAAACCCTACAGGGATGGGAGAGAAACCCTACAGGGATGGGAGAGAAACCCTACAGGGATGGGAGAGAAACCCTATGGGGATGGGAGAGAAATCCTACGGGAATGGGAGAGAAACCCTACAGGGATGGGGGAGAAACCCTACAGGGATGGGAGAGAAACCCCACAGGGATGGGACAGAAACCCCACAGGGATGGGAGAGAAACCCTACAGGGATGGGGGAGAAACCCTACGGGGATGGGGGAGAAACCCTACGGGGATGGGGGAGAAACCCTATGGGGATGGGGGAGAAACCCTATGGGGATGGGGGAGAAACCCTACAGGGACGGGGGAGAAACCCTACAGGGGTGGGAGAGAAACCCTATGGGGATGGGAGAGAAACCCTATGGGGATGGGGGAGAAACCCTACAGGGGTGGGAGAGAAACCCTACAGGGATGGGAGAGAAACCCTGCAGGGATGGGAGAGAAACCCTACATGGATGGGGAGAAACCCTACATGGATGGGGAGAAACCCTACATGGATGGGGAGAAACCCTACAGGGATGGGGAGAAACCCTACAGGGATGGGGAGAAACCCTACAGGGGTGGGAGAGAAACCCTATGGGGATGGGGGAAAAACCCTACAGGGATGGGAGAGAAACCCTACAGGGATGGGGGAAAAACCCTACAGGGAAGGTGGCCAAAGCCCCCCGTGCCTGGGCTGCCAAATGGAAATGATAAAGAAATAAAAATAACATTCATCAACACAAACAATCGCTGGAGACACTGAAGGGACCGAGGCTGGAGAATTCCCATCTTGGAACTGCAGAAAGCTGATTAAAGCTGAATTCACCCTTCTCATTCTGTTTCAATTCTTACTGTAGGGTTGAACACTTCCCTAATAAACATCCCCCAAGCCCTGCTCGTTTTCCAAATGCTTTTTTTCCATCCTGCTGGTGCTCAGTCAGGACTGGGGCTCTGTGTGGGGACATTCCCGTGTCACAAAGCCACTGGTGGCCGTGCTGGGCACAGAGGATGGGATCCCCCGGCCCCATACTCACTGCTCTGTTGATGTGCTTCTTGATGAGGATGTAGAGCACGGGCAGGGTCACGTAGGCCAGCATCTCCCAGAGCTTGCCAGCCAGCAGCATCCACAGCAGCCGGTCCTCAGCGGCCAGSTTCACCCAGCACCAGCCCACCGACACGTTGGAGGCATCGTAGCCGATCTTCTTCAGAGCCACGGCGGCCACCGTGATGGCCAGGGGGACACCCCAGCTGGGGGGACACAGAGAGTGAGGTCAGGGCAAGGAGAGTCCCAGCTGAGACCCCCAGCACCCAGGAGATAAATGGGTGACACCCCCAGGGACAGGATCCCAACACTCATCCCATCCCACTCATCCCATCCCAAACCCCGACAGGAGGTGGGTGACAGCCCCAGAATCCCAACACTCATCCCATCCCAAACCCTGATAGGAGATGGGTGACAGCCCTGGGGACAGGATCCCAATGCTCATCCCATTCCTATACCCCAACAGGAGATGGGTGACAGCCCCGGGGACAGGATCCCAACACTCATCCCATCCCAAATCCCAAGAGGAGATGAGTGACAGCCCCAGGGACAGGATCCCAACACTCATCCCTTCCCACACCCCAACAGGAGATGGGTGACAGCCCCGGGGACAGGATCCCAACACTCATCCCATCCCAAACCCTGGCAGAAGATGGGTGACAGCCTCAGGACCCCAACATTCATCCCATCCCACACCCCAACAGTGCCATGGATGTGTCACCTCCCGCCCCACAGACACAGAGAGGGACAGGGGCTCAGACTGAGCTTCCAGCACAGCCCTTCTGGTGCCCCCAGGGGCAGGGAAAACAAATCCATCCCTGTCTTGCTCTCAGTTCAGTGCCCAAATCCATCCCTGTCCTGCTCAGTGTCCCACTGACAGCCTGGAGCAGCTGCAGGGACATGGAAAGGCTCTTCACCCCAAAATCAGCCTCACAGGCACAGCCTGTGCAGGAAAACAGCAGCTGCCTCGACCAGATTTGCTGAAATTCCAGAGCCAGCAGGTGCCTTGACCAGATTATCTGAAACTCCATAGCCCCTCTGAAGAACCAGAGATAATCCCATGACATTGGATTTATAAAATACCCCATTTCCTACTCTTCAACAATGACTGGATTCACCTACTCACAAAAGAAACAAATGTAAACATAATGCTGTTAAAAAAAAAAAAAGAATCAGAGTCGACTCTTCAGCACATTTAGAACATTTTGTTTCAAGGTTCAGCTGAGAACAGGCAGTGCTGATCCGAGCCAGTGCTGTTATTTAAGGACAGTTGTGCTGCAGGAAGCCCTCCCCACGCTGTTATCAGAGCAGCCTTTCTAAAAACATCCCAAACGTCACCACCACCCTRAAAGTCCCCACACAACTCAGGAGTCATTTGGGTAAAACTGGCCATTTCTCAGAAAACACTTCCAAATTCAAAATTTTCAGCATTTATGGAAGAACCGAGCACCAAGGTAAAAAATCCAAKAGAACTGGAACTTCCTTAGAGAAACCGCATTAAGACACATGAGCACCAAGAAAAAAAGAAGTGAATTAATTTGCCTAAATAATGATGTCAACAGTGACCTGAAATGGAAAGAATTTAGATAAAACCAGGTCAGATTATGGTGTGTGGATGTAAGAAAGGTCACAGTAGGAAATACCACTAAGAGAGGGACTCAAAAACCTTCAGGAGAGAACTGGCAAAAGGAAGAATGTGGAAGCAAAACTGCATTAACAATCAGCCAATTCTCACTGGAAGAACATTTGGGATCAGATGGAATTTCCCACTAACACCAAACACAGAGGATTACCAGCTGGAAGTGAAATTAGAARGGATCTGGAAAGGAATCAGACATTTCCGTGAACTTCAGCTCCGTTTTAGCAGACTGGAAAGGAGAACTGAGACTGSTTCTGGTTGTTCCTGAGAGCTCCTGAGTGACAGATTCAGGGGGGCAGCAAAATGTCAGTGCTTTCACTCCAATGGGAGAATGGAAGAACCGAAAATTCATCAGGAAAATTATTAAATTAATGAATAAAAACCCAGCGTATCTTTGTACAACAACACCAAACCAAAGCAGGGTGAGGACCCTTCAGCTCCAGCAGCGTTCAGCTCCACTCACCCCGGTTTTCTTGGGTCAGATTGCTCAATAAACACTCTGATTTATGCCCACAGCTGCTTTTCCCCCTGGAGGCTCTGGGAGCAGGTGATTGCTGTCACCCAGGTCACACGGGGAGCTCCTTCTGGGGACAGCAATCTTCACTCTGTGAGCAGCGAAAAATCAGTGAAAAATCCCAGGGAGCTGCAGGAAGGAGCTCTGAGCTGGCCTTGTGAGCAGCGAAAAATCAGTGTTTTGGATATCCCAGGGAGCTGCAGGAAGGAGCTCTGATCTCGCCTTGTGAGCAGCGAAAAATCAGTGTTCTGGATATCCCAGGGAGCTGCAGGAAGGAGCTCTGAGCTCACCTTGTGAGCAGTGAAAAATCAGTGTTCTGGACATCCCAGGGAGCTGCAGGAAAAAGCTCTGAGCTCCTCATCTGAGCTCGGGAAGTTTGGGAGCAAAGCAGAGCTTTGGTGGATGTGCTGCCACRGGAATCCACCAGGCACAAACCTGTCTGACGGGTCTGAGCCAGCCTGACATCCTGATTTTCTCAGGAAAAATTCGGGTTCTGACCTCCAGCATGTATTTAGTCAGCTCCACTCAGCTCAAGAATGAAGAGTCCCTGGTTATTGTCAGCACGGACCAAGGGCTCGTGAATGTGCCTGACAAAAATCCATCCTGCCCTGCTCCTTCCAAAGTGCCTTGGGATGACTCTTCCTTCCCACAAAGGTCACTGCATGGCTGTACTGGCAACGAAGCAAAGAAGGGAAAAAAAAAATCCAGGTTCTTGCTTAGACAAAAATACTGGAAATTTAACTTTAAAACACCACCTGCCTTTGCCACCTCCTCTTTTGCCCTAGAGAGCTCTCTCTCACCCACCTCCTGTAACTCAAATACAGATTCTCTCCATGCATTAATTGAAGCAGTTCTTTCTGCAGGGTTCTGACAGATTTTTAGGCTGCCAGAGCCACAGCCAGTGGGATCTAAAACCCTGGAAAGGTTGTGGGAGAGCCGTCTCCAAACACTGTGCCCAGAACTGGGTTTTATTCCCCAGGTAACCACGAAATGACAGGGAAGGAAAGCAGGAGGATGTGTCACGAGGGGTTGGGCAGAGAACACGTCCTCACTTGTTTTTCTGCGGCTTTTCAGACAGATCATAAAGCAGAGGCAGCGTTAAACACCGGCTCTGCCAAAAACAGGAGGAATTTGCAGAGCAGGACCTGATCACAGCTTTGGAAAGAGCATGGATCAATACCAAGGGCTGAAGAATCAAAAATAAACCTCACAGAAAACAAACTCACCCTGAAGCAGCTCAGTTTGAGCATCTCTCCCTCTGTGTCATGGGGTTAGAGCAATCTTTTGGGGTTTTTTTWMMRTTTTTAGAGAGGGCACAGATTGCAGCCAGCGCTGTTTCGGTGGCTCTGTCTCCCTCCACACTCGGTAGCTGAGGCTGAGGAGCATTAAACCAGACTGAAAAACTGAAGTACAGGCAAAAGCCACCCAGGCAATGAGCAGACAGGAAAATCACAAAAAGGGCAGATTTGCCCGAGCTCTCTGATGTTGCTGACAGAGCCAGAATGCCCAGTCAGGCTTCTTTCTCACAGCCATTGGGCAACTCATTGTGTGGCTCTCACCACAGCTCCCGGAGTGTAACTCTGTGTTTGCAGAGATGAAATAATCTGAATCCTCCTCCACTGCCTCACGGCGTCTCCTCCCAGCTCAGTGTGCCCAGGGCCATGTGCAGCCCCCTCAGCTCCTCACACAGCCCCAAATTCAACAGGCAGGGCAGGAACCCAAATTCCTCCCTGATTCCCACTCAGCCCTGAGGTCCCTCTCTGCCCCATCCTCTCCTGGACTCAGCTTTAGTTCTGCCAAAGGATGCTGTGTGAAACTAAAAAGTGACAAATATTTGACTGAGAAACCAAAGAAAATCCTGTACTTGTCCTGAGGGATTTTTTTCCCCTTTAAACCAGATCACTCCTCTYATAATTTATTGCAAAAGCTTGGCAACACGGAGGACTGAAGGATCACTGTTGTGCTCAGCGTGGACGTAGCACATGATTCCACAAGCTCCAATTGCATAATGAAAGCTTTTACTAAACATGATGTGGAAAATCAGCTCCCCAAAGAGCTGAAACTGAGACATAAAGCTGTACTGTGGTCTGGTTTGTCATGCTTTCAATCAAACATGCCAAAACAACCTTCAGAGGGCTTTTCCAGCAGTTTCATCACTTGTAGACAACATTCTCCTACGAGTGTGGAATTACAGCAGCCTGCCTGGGGAAAGAGGAAGGATCCACAGACCGGGCTGACAGGGGGACTCATGGAAACAAATCCCAAATTTAGAATTTTGGCCGTCACCAGGCAGGTATCACAAACACAAGTTTTGTTACATTATTCCCACAACATCRGGAAAGCAGAACCAGGATTTTCAGTGATTACAACTAGCAGAGATTTTTCTATGTGACCTGGAACAAAAAAATTTCAACTTTTCCACRTCTCCAGCTCTTCACTTGGGAAGGRAAAGGGAGACAAGCGGGGTGGGTTAGTTGAAAGACAGCAAAATCCCTGTTTGAAAGGATTTCAGAGGAAGAAGATGAGAAGAAAAGCGCGGAGACTCGAGGGATATGTGAGGCTCTATCACAAACGCAGCAGAAGCAGCACACAGCACCCACCTCACRGCATGAAAACACCAGAGCACCCCCGTGCCCGTGGGCGAGCCCCTGACGATGGTGAGGTACAGGTAGAGCGCGATGGCCATGGTCCAGAAGAAGGAGCTGGTGTTGGCGAAGGTGGACAGGGCGCCCTGCAGGACGCAGTCCCACGAGGTGCGCTCGAAGTCCTGCAGCACCCCGTAGAAATAGGAGAGGGCTGACAGCAGATCGGCCAGGGACAGGTAGAGCAGCAGCTGCCGCGGCCGCGTCCGCAGCTCCGGCCACTGCGCGTGGGTGCAGAGAAGCAGCGYGGAACCCACGCAGGACAGAGCGCACGACACCAGCACGGCCACACGCTCGGCCGAGGACAGMGGAGTGGGGGGCAGCGGGGCGGGCATGGCCGGAGCCGGCCCGGAGCCCGGGGAACGGGGGAACGGCGCTGCGGAGCCAGGGGACAGCGGGGTGCAGCCC